CAGACACTGGGGTTCGGGGAACCAGAGATTTACACTGCACAAGATTTAAAAGAAAGGCCCGAACCAAGGAGTGTCTGATCTCTAGCTATTTCAAGGACTTCATGTCTTTAAGGTTTAATTCAATAGGAAAGGGTAGATTGTCTAAGGAAGGAGTTGAGAACTCTGTGCGTACGCCCATACACACACAGGGAGAGGAGTGTAAATAATGGAAGAGTCTAATTTGCAAATGTAAGAAAAGATATCCTAGAAAAAAGAAGAAATAGTGTCACCTTTCTTTAGAAGTTGAGAAAGAAACATAATTTAGAGTTATTTCCCAAATCTTTTAGGAAAAGGAATGATCCGTTCCCTAAAATGTGTGAAAAGCCTGGGTCATCCACCCACCCTTCTCCAGGTGTTTAGAAAAGGAGATGTAGTCCCTTCTAGATGTCTAGATTTGCCTCTCTGCAAATGTCTTCCATAGGATCCGGGTTCAACCCCTCTGCTTCCATGGCAAGTTGTTTTAGTGGAGGAAAGAAGAGGTCACCCTCCCCAACGTTTCAAGGAGAAGGAGAGGCCTCTCCTGTCCAGGTGTTCTAGAAACTATCATGAGTCCCAGAGTCGATGTGAGAAAACGACACAGCCTTTCTCGTCGTCCCCCCAACTATCATGACAGCAGCAGATGTTATGGGAGGAAATGGGAGAATTCAAAAGAATGTAAAAGTACGATTCCTCCATATATTCTCAAGGAGTAAGGGGGGAGGCTGTATCTTTCCAGATGTTCCATGACGGGGGAAGGACTGCACCTCCCCCTCCTCCGCCCCCTCACTCCCGGTCCCGCCCCCACTCACCCTGACGCTTTCGCTCCCGTTTGTCCTGAAGCTGCTTTTTCTTCTGTTTAGCGCTGAACGGCCTCTTACGATGCATGTCCTACCCCGGCTGCCGTCCCCTCCTCCTGCTCCGACAGCACCGACTCGCAGCACCGGAGAAGACAGAAGAGTGGGCGGAGCCAAAAGAAGAATACGGGTCGGCGGGGAGAGGAGGAGCCAATTAGCGTGGAGCAAGGAGGAGGAGCCGGAAGGGTGAAAAGGCGGGGCCTGCAGCCCGCTGAAGAATACGGGCTCGTGACGCAAGAGCGGAAAAATCCACTGATTTGGAGGGAAAGGTGTGACTGGCCGAAACCATTGGGGATGAATGAAAATATGCGGGAAGAGCATACATTTTTGGAAGGACGTTTGTGAGCTGTACCATTCAGAAGGAGCGGGGGGGGGGAGACATTCACGAGTCCGCTCAGCGGAACGGGTCAGGCTGTACCATTCAGGAGGAGGGGTGCTCAGAGGTTAGTGCAGTCGTGCAGTGCTACGCAAAATTGCTCCAGTCTATGCTGGGACGGCGGAAGACAGGGAGGCCTGGCTTGATCTGGTCTATGGGGTCGCAAAGAGTCGGACTCGACTGTGCAACTGAACAACAACAACATACTGGGTTTAATTCTGCTGAGTTTAATTCTGAATAGGATTGCAGTGCAGACCTCCTTATGAGGGAAGGAGGCTTAACCAAACCACCAGATTCGACCCAGCCTCCAGCGATGGAATGGCTTGTTCTCTCCAGATGTTCAAAAGGGGGCCTTGAATTCTGCCCGATGTACAACAGAAGTATTGCGAAACAAAGCAAGGCACCGGGTCACAACTGTAAAACAGAAACTCCGTCACGGGTTGTGCTTCCCCAGCCCAATTTGAGAAAGCACTAGGCACAGTCCTGTAGAGGAGAATCCAGACTAAAACTTTATTAATAAAGGAGGGAAAATGCAGGCATAACAAGGTTTTGAATCCTCGAATACCCACAGCTCTTCCCTAAGGTTACAGTGGGAGACATAAACTTTTATACCCCCTATGACAGTTAGAAATAAATCATAGTTATTGGTTCCATCAAACTTTGTCATATATCCGTCACACCATTCTGATTGGGCCCCAACCTGTGGGTTGGATTTTCTCAGGCAAAAATATACCTCCTTCAGTTGAACAATGGGCCTTCTTCTTCCCAGACTATGAAATCCTAAAAGTAGCTAGTGTAGCAGATACGGATACATAGTGGTGTGTGTTCTTCATCTAACCTAGGCTAAATGACATCAGGAATATGCACAGTTATAGTTGGCAAGAACAAGCAAGGTCACAAGCAGTATGATTGCCTGTCAGCATTTAGTATTTTACCCAGAATGCATTTAAGCAATGAACCAAAGTGAATATCTTAATATATGTTCATGATTGATTTCAGTTACTGTGATTAGAATCATCAAAGGCACTTAACATATGCACCATGGAAGTGTTAAGTGCACCTACTAAGTTAAACTGACTGTTAGTCAGTGGCAAAAGTGTTTCATAAGCGGTGCTGTGACGACCTCTTATCTGGGGAGGTCTAGTTTTACTTTAAAAGTTCTTATGGTTTATTTTTCTTTGGGTATTCTGGCTGCCACCAGGAATTTTAATAAATTCCAATTCTTCTCTTTGCTTCTGGGGTTGGTATTGTAACGCGGGGTCTAGGCCTTTCGAGGAACTATGTGGTCTGAGGAAGGATTATTTGCTGATACTTGAAGGAATTAGGATTTATTTAAAGTAAACATAAATACGAGGGTAAACAATGTAAACAGTACTGGGAAGGAGTTGAACAAATGCTTGGTGTCTCTCACAAGCTTCTCCTTTACTGACAGGGAGGTTAAAGCAACTTTGTAATCTTTTCTCTGTACTTTTCTTAGGGACTCTCAGCTTTCAACACTGTTACTCTTATAACACAGAACTTAACCGTCTGCTTCACACAGGAACCTCTCACACAGAGAACTCAGGACAAAACTCATATTAACTCCTTTACACAGCACACTCTGCTCTGACTCTCATCAACTGTTTAACTCAACTATCATCATAAACTGTCTAAACTCTAACAGTCACTCCTGATAGACATTCAAATCACCCACACAGCATCCATTCCAAAAACCCCTCCCCCTCTCTGTCACTCACCAATCACACAACTTGCCTGTTTCAGTATTCTAGATTGTCCCACACAGCCATGCCAACCAACTTTTAAACACACACACAGTAAAACATGGAATCGTTACAGGTGCGTACAACACAACCATGATGCAATAGCTATTTTCATTGATCGAATGGAAACCAGGAGTAGATTTGGCACTCGCATGGCTTTTCGACAAGACCAATGCAGTCAACTGATCCTACACGTGTTTGTCAAGAAGTGGTGTACTGGTTCATTTTTTCAGTAACTACTGCATTTCTGAGGTACTGTCATAGTAAGAACAAAAGGCACCTTAGGGATCATTAGGTTTCTTCTGACAAAAGCTTATGCCACGGTTACTATGACATTTGCTGCACTCGACGAACATGGCTGTCAGGCTGGAATTTGTTCTTACGGTAAGTTGGTGGTGCTACCTGACTTCTATGTTATTTTATTGAAACAAACAAAACACTCTGCTCCAAAAGCTCCAAGCTCTACCTCAGCTTTACATGAAATATAATCTTAGGGCTCTTTTTGCAGCAGGTACTTATTTGCATATTAAGCGACACACCCCTAATGTAGCCAATCCTCCAAGAGCTTACAGTAGCTCCTGTAAGAAGAGCTCTGTAAGCTCTTGGAGGATTGGCTACATTAGGGGTGTGTGGCCTAATATGCAAAGGAGTTCCTGCTACAAAAAGAGCCAAAGCTGCCTGTATCCAACTTGCTGCAGGGTTATGGTCTAAACCGTGTTTCGATGTATCACAACCTAAGCCACTCAAAGCATGTCTTCATTCTTTCTTATAGACAAGAATCCCCACCACCACCAGTCTTGACTGTTGCTCCATAATTACAGGTCCTCACCCACTCTGACTGCAATCCTAAAAATGCTTTCCTGGGAGTAAGCCCGGCTAAATAAAATGGAGTTTATTAGTAAATATGGATAGGATTGCAGGAAATTGGTTGTATATTCTTTTATATTGCATCAGGAGAGGAAGAAGAGTAGCCATGATTCGTTTCCCAAGCATGAAGCCATCCAGCAATTTAGAAACACAAATGGCCCTGGCAGGGAGAAGAACAATAGGCAGCCAGGTCCCACCCAACCCTTGGGCACTCTTTAGCTATAGAACAGTGGTGTCAAACTCATTTTTTACGAGGGCCGGATCCAACATAAATGTTACTCTGTCGGGCCGGGCCACGTCTGCCATAAAACATAATGCTGGGTACCAAAGATATAAACTGTATAAAGGACAGCAGCTGGTAAGCTCTGAGTTGGTGTATCTTCACCGCAAGGCCCCATGGGCGGGGGGGGGGGTTCCAAAGGAAAACTCATATGGGCGGACTGTACAGCACTGGGCAGACACTCCCACGCTGCTTGATGGCTGCAAATGAGGTCGTTCCAACATGCTGAAGCCACAATCTGAGTGGCTCTGCCCACTCCCCCACCCAGCAACAGTCTCTTGTTCCCTCCCTTGCACTAGTTGCTTGCAGGCCACATAAGAACCCTAGACGGGCCAGTTCTGGCTTCCTGGCCTTATGTTTGACACCCCTGAATTAGGATATCTGTGTAATAGATGTTCACTTGATGTATCTGATGAAGTGAACTCCAATACACGAAAGCTTATGCTGAAGCAACAGAACAAAGTTTGAGTCCAGTGGCACTTTTAAGACCAACAAAGTTTAATTCTTGGTACAAGCTTTCTTGAGCATGCAGAATTCATAATAAATGTTAGTTTTTGAAGTGCCACTGAACTATTTTATTTTGCTGCCACAACACAACTACCCCTACAGGTAAACCTGGTGAAGTGGAGCTGTGGGTAGGAGACACGTGCCTACGCATCCGAAACCACACTTCCTGATCTCTATGGTTTTTCGTGCCGCTCTAGGACATTAAAGCTTTCTGATCTCTTTAATGCATCACTCCTCCCCATGCATAGTGCGATAGTCGTAAAAAAAAAAGTAACCTTTGCATCTCTATGGTCTGGGCCACGGAAGAGTCAGCTCTGCGTCATCTCTGCGCGCAGGCGCGGTGTGATAGAAGGGTGCATGTGTGAAGCCAAGAGTGCAGGGAGGCGGCGGAGTCACAAGAGTAAGTGGCGGCTGCGGGGACGGAAGAGGCAGATTGATCAGCCATGCCCAAGGGAGGAAAACAACACCAGCACCAGGAAGAATGGGTCGGGGACGAGGAAGAGAAGAGCGTTGAGCGTCCCAAAGGAGGGGGCTGGAGGTAAGAAAAAAGGAGAATTGAATCGGGCTGGGCCACTGCCCCCTATATTGGAAAGCCTGAACACCAGGCTCTGACGTCACCACATGTAGTCATAACATTCCCTGAACTCTGCAGTTGCAAGGTACTTTCACAAGTGTTTAAAATTGCATTTTCTCGTGCACTCAACAAGATATTCTCTTGATTCTTTCACTGCAGGATTCCAGACACTTCACACTAGCTTACATGTTACTGAGTTCAGTTTCCCTTGCATATTTGAGTGTATGTTTCATATAATTTACAAGCATATAATATTGGAGAGTGGTGGATGTCTGTTGTATGATGGTATTGTCAATTCTCACTCTATTTCAGGTTTTTTGGGGGTAGATCAGTGGGTTTTGCTTCAGTTTGCCACAACAAATCCAGAAGGGAACTGGGGGTTTCTGCACATCCCCTTCTTCTGCTCAGTATTAAAGCCAGCCTTATAGACTAGAACTTTCAATGGACATTTAAAAGCACACTGCTTTCATCAAAGATGACAGAACAATGAATGTGGTTCATCACACAGCTGTCATCCCCACTTTGCATGTGAG